TAATACTCATGCTTTTTTTATCACACTTTTTCTCTTATTTGACAATATTTTCAATTTATTACCTCTTTGATACTTTTGATATTTTTAAGATTTTGATGTTCACAATGCCGCGACGACATTTAACAAAATTGGAAGTAATGCACTTGGTCACTCTTTTGCAAGAAGGCCACAGCCAACGATATGTTGCGAATATGATAGGAGTAAGGCAATCCGTTGTTAGCCGTATCTATGCTCGCTATGAAGAAACCAGTGAATGTCAGCGACTCTCAGGACAGGGTCGAAGACGTGTAACTACACCTAGAGAAGATAGGATTATTGTTCGACACGCCCGTGCAGAACCATTTACTAATGCAAATGTAATTGCTAGCGGTATTCAAAATCGTAGGCAGCAACCTGTGCGTCAGATAAGTGCACAAACTATCAGAAATCGTTTAAGAGATGCTCATTTGCGTTCGTATCGTTCTTTGCAAGTACCTATGCTTAATCGTTATCATCGGCGTGCTCGTTTAGCGTACGCACATCGTCATGTCAGATGGATTCAAAGACCATGGAGCAATGTTCTTTTTACGGACGAATCGAGATTTTCTCTCTATGGGAATGACAGATGGCAACAAGTACGGCGTCGTCGTGGCGAAAGATATCGTCAGAATTGTAACAGACCAATTATAGGATTTTATGGAGGTTCCGTAATGGTCTGGGCAGGTATATCACGAAATTCACGAACATCATTGGTTGTTATACCACCACCTGGATTGACTGCTAGGAGATATATCAATGAAATTTTACGTCCATATGTCTGTCCAATTCGTGATCAGACAAGAAACAGATTCATCTTAATGCACGATAATGCACGTCCTCACACCGCAAACTACGCGACAGTTTCTAAGAGAGAACCATATTGCGGTTTTAAATCATCCTCCAATGAGTCTCGATCTCAATCCAAGAGAGCATATTTGGGATATGATTGGTCGTCAATTACGATGGAATTATCCACGATTAGAAAATTTGGGACAATTAGCGGAAGCGCTCAGTCAAATTTGGCGTACTATCCCGCAGTTCGCAATACGGAGATGTATTAATATGAGACAACGTTTGCAGGACGTTATTGAAAATAGAGGTGGCAATACTAGGTTTTAGTCGCGTCTCAACATGTACAAGTCCACCAGATTTTGGCTATCGAAAATGCACATATGCACACACGCACACGCGCGCGCGCAAACACACACACACACACACACGAGGTGTAAAGTCCGGCTGCG